GTAGGGAAATGGATGAAACCCTCTTGCCTGAGGTAGTGAAGCAAAAGATAATACAATGTAGGAGCAATTCTTCACAGGGGAGAAAATTACACAAATGATGCACTGGGCATTTTTTGTATCTAATGGATAAGATTTTATGTTGTAAATGCACAAAGGATTTCTAGTAGTCTTCACATAAAGTTTAATATAGAATATTTTCTTACCAGTTAGATAGTATAAACCAGAAAATTTGGTTGAATGACTCATGAGAAATTCTGGCACTGATAACTTAGCTTTTAGGGACCTATGTATGTCACCTATATATTCATTTGCTTCACTTAGACTGCACTCTTTGCTAAGCGGTCAAATACTTTATTCTATGACTGGCATTTCAGAATCTGAAGCAATAGAGTTATTCTTCTGCCCAAGGTGTCAATGCAGCCAGCTCAAATGATTTTATAATCTCCATCACATAGTAACTGTGTTACTAAATAATATAGACAAGAAAGGTGACTGAATAACCTACCGTTCTCATTTGTAATGCTCTTCAGCTTGAATAGTTCATTTTCAGGGAGTTTTGACTTTAGCAATCAGAAACAATCAGCCCCCTGGCAGCGTGACTGAAAGAAGAATAAAAACCCTCAGGCAACTAATATTTTTTGCAGAGGTAGCAAAATTGGCATAGTATAAAAGGGTTTTTAAAAAAAGTTTCAGAAGGGTGCTCCAGAGAAAATGACTCTGTAACGCTGTCAGCAAAACTTCAAAAAGGCAAATTCTCTTGACACATCAGCACACCCGGCATGGTAAAGAGAAGTGAAACAAGAAAATCAAAGTTTAATTTATACACTTTATTGCCAAGTGAACAATAGATGGTCTCCCGTGAAGGATGAAATATTGGATTTTGTATTGCTCATTCTGCAGTAATGTATGTGTTACATGGCCTGTGTTTGCTTTCTGCTCCCTTTAGTCTGAATTCTGGTTCACTGAAAATATGTTAAAAATAGAGATGTTGGAGAAAAAGTAATTTGGTAATTAAAGGTGGCTTTTAAAATGACTGCTCTGGATAGCTAACAAAACCTGGACAGTGCTGTTGTTAGTTAGAGAGCAATACTGATCCTCTGAAATGGTTCCTCTTTCTCTTTGGTGAAAGTGGGGTTTACCTGAGGTCCCAGGGAGAGCTGTTAGACAACAAACTGTCAATGTAGAGAAACAGAAAATGTATGTAAAAGTTCAATTTAAGTTGTAAATCTCTTTATGCTATTGCAAATTGTGATGATTGTGCCTCATGTTGAGCCTATCATTTTCTATTTAATCTAGACTTTTTTTGCTCTGCCAAGTTGTTACCATTGTGTCTCAAACATTCCCTCATAATTGTCTTCCAGAGCAGACTTTTGGGGGAAAGTTTAGCAAAAACGTTTGATTTTTTTGGTGCAGGTTTTTACTGAGATTCCTTGTTGAGAACCCACTGGGTTGGGGAAAGAATTTGGTATTTGGAAGGATTGAAGCACAGACATTTATAACTGTAGTAACGAGGAACAGAACTAGACTGTCTTCTTGGCCTGTATGTTTCTGCACTTCAGCAAAGATTTTGAAATCCACTGACAAAGCACTTTATGTTCCCTGATGCAGTTGGTCCACAGGCGTGGGGACAGCCTGTCACTGCTATGAGTCACTTAGCTCAAGTGGCTGGAATGGGGGCAGTAGTTAAAGCTGTTGTGCAAGGATATAACTGCCCCTTCAAAAAAAACCCCAAACATCTCAGGAATTGAATTTCTGCACTATTTCCTTTCTCTTTCTCCATCATTTGGATATGGTTTCTTTACCTTGCTTAAGCTGGGACCAAAACAGTCCTGTCTGAACGGGAGGAGAAATTGAGGAGATCAAGTAAGAAACAACTCTGGCTGCAGTCTCCAGACCTTGTTAATATTCCCTTGGCAGCATCACTGTGTCAGAGACCTGTTTGTAAAAGCTGAACATTATTGATGACCTGAATGGCCTGAAATGAAAATTCAAGAACAAAGAGTAAAATTTTATACGTATTCAGGCCTTTTATTTCTTTGCTGGAAAATAACCTTATTCAATTACAATAGTGGAGCATAATGGTGGGACAGAAAAGAACCCAAAATTTAAGAAATGCTGACCAATTCCTGAGCAGATTAGTTTAGCCTCTTTATACATTTGATCATATGATCATGTTTCATTTGTTTCACCTCTGTCCTTCTCAGCAAGAAATTATTTGTTATTTCTTTTCATCCTCCTCACTGATTCTGTGCGTTCATGAAATAGCTAGGAAACTATATCCACAACATGTAACAAATTAAACTCTCTTGGAAGTTTCCATAATGGTCTTATTGAAGTGCTTTGCTAAATTTCAAGTTCATGATGTTTGAGCTTTTATTTATTCCAATATTGTAGTTGAGACATGAGAGGTGACAGTAGGGCCAAACTTACTGAATTGTCTTGCTGAATTTGAGCGTCCAGTCTGAAAGTATATATTGCCTGATTTTTCAGGTTGCTTCACGTAGACCTGTGTC